CTCCGGCTCTGCGCCGGGGGCCAGCCCGGCTTTGCGCGCGGGTTCCGACCCCTCCGCCGGCGCCCTCCGCGTGAAGACACCCCCCGCCCCGTGCCGGCAACGAGTACGCAGTGCGCAGCCGCAGCCAGGACCCGGCCTTGCGCGCTGCGGAAGCTCGTGGAGGGGCGCGCAACTTAATTTTTCTGCATTTTACCAGAGAAAGCGCGTTATCAAGCAGTAGTGGAAATATTGCCCCTCCATGTCTCCCGCCGACAGTGGAGTGCATTTTCCGCGGCCCCGTCCTGTTCTGGTTTAGGTCGCCTTAGTTTTATGTAATTAGGTGCTCGGGCCAAGGGGTGCTGCCTCCTGTTGGTGCATTAATCCAGATCTCTTTCCGGGCTCGCTTTAATTCCCTGACACCCAGTGAGGAAGACGTATCCAACAATTCCTGGTTGTCTCCTGTTATTGGACATTTCGTTTGCTTATAATTTTGCTGCACGAGAAGTTACACTGCCACGAACATTGTGAAATCCACATTTTTAAGTTTTGGGGAGTTTTATTTATTTATTTTTTTAAGAGATTTTGCTATAGCGCTCTTGCGCTCGCTGGAGAGAGACAACGAGAAATCACCCCTAGGGAGATGACCAGGCCTCAGTCTCTTCCCGTCTCCTCGTGGGAGTCCAGAGAAGTAGCTAGCCATTACCCATCTGCTGGACCCTCCGCATTTTTCTTATTAGTTCATATGTTTGTGTCTCCCCACATCCGTCCCCTCGTGGGAGTCCAGAGAAGTAGCTAGCCATTACCCATCTGCTGGACCCTCCGCATTTTTCTTATTAGTTCATATGTTTGTGTCTCCCCACATGTTGAAATCCTCACCGCCAAATGATGGCACTAGGAAGCCCGCCAAACCTTTGGGAGGTGATTAGATCAAGCGAGATCAGTGCCCTAATAAAAGGACCCTGCAGAGCTAACCAGCCCCTTTCATCCCTTGAGAATACAGCCAGAAGGTTCTCTGAACCTTTCAGGCCCTCACCAGACACCAAATCTGCTCCTGCTTGATCTGGGACTTCCCAGCTCCCCGAACCAGGACAAAAAATTTCTGTTGTTTGTAAACTACTCACTTTCTGGTATGTTTTTATAACAGCTGGAAGGGACCAGCATTGTAACCACCATGCCACCTGCTGGCACCATGCACACATCTTAAATAGAAGCTTGGTGACTTTTGGTGAATGTATACATGCCTTACAATTGATAGTATGACACATACTTAAAACATCATTCCTGCAATATATTCAACAGTGTTATTAATAGTTAGAGCAGGGGCCGGCAGATGGCATGATGGCTAAGGGTGCTGGACTCCCACATGGCCAACTGTGGTTCCAGTCCCGGACCCAGGTAAGACTTGCTTTCTCACTTTCCTTCTCTCTCTCTCTCTCTCTCTCTCTCCATTTGACTCTCTCGCTCTGCCCCTCTGTGGTCCAACTCAAATAAGTACATAAAGTTAAATAATTTTTAAAAAGGTTACAGCAACTTGGGTGTATGTTGGTTCAAAAGGGCTTGCTTGCCCCCAAACTACATCAATCCATTATCCAATTTCAGTTACTTGAAAATCTAGTAAGAATATACTTTTGTGCTTTTTAGATTTTTGTCATAGGATGCGTACACTCACCAGGGAGACACGGAGACAGAGAAAGTGAGAAAGAACCTTCCCAAGGGGGTGACAGCCACTCTGTAATCCCTACTCCTCAATTCTCCTCTTGGGGTTTGGGCACGTATGCACATGCATCTGGTATATTTTTTAAGCTACTGGGTCCAGAACTTGAACCACAGAGTAGGCCGTGTGGGATCCAGTGCCTTAACTACCATGCCACCTGCTGGCCCAAGAGTAAGCTTTTAGCCAGCCTGTGGGCATGTCTCAGACTCAAAGCGGCCAGTGCCACAGTGGCTAGGAGGGCACAGACGGTTTGGCAACTTGGTAGCTGTCAGCTCCCAAAACACCTGGACCACTGCATGGGACCTCTAGTCTTCCCTGCGATCGGAAGGACCTAGGCCTCCAACCCAGTCCTGCTCACCTGTGAATGGGAAAAGGGTAGTGCTCAAAGTGTTGGGTCATTTATCCTAATAGCCAAATCTCAACTGGGAGGTCAAGATACTCTTGGTGTCCCTCCTGTCTGCCCACTGGAAAGGCCAAAGCTGGCTCAGTTAGAGTCCAAATCTTTAAATCCCATGACACCTGTTCCCCAAGCTCTATATCAGGAGACACTCTTCCCTCATGGACAGGCCATCCCTTCCATCTTTTGGGAACTCCTGGCATAGTAGCCAGGCCCGTGTGGCCTTGTTGCTCCCCTACCTTGGGCTCCAGTGTATTATCTTGGCCTTTACCAAGCCTTCCATTCCGGGAAACTTATTGCTAATAGCTGGATAGCTTCCCGGAAACTATGTCCTGAGTGCGAGGAAAGATTCACTTTCCTCCCATAGCCTGGTCTATCGCTCGAACATGCAACCTGACTTCAGGTGGCTATTTCATCACCTGGGCTCTCCATTGTGAATTCAGGCTGACGTCACAGTGGGCTAAAAGTGGCCCACAGCCTCCCTAGGACTGTCCCCGGGTGCTGACAGGATGGCAGGAGAGTCCACTGTTTAGTTAAGCTGTAAAGAGTTACAGCAGCCACCCTGATTTAGCCTTACAATCTCCTCCACCCGTGTCACTAGCCAGGGTGGTGGTGGCCAATGTGGTTTGTAGGACGCATGTGCTCGCCAGAAAGACAGAGATAGAGAGACAGAAAGTGAGAGATCACCCCCCAGGGGGGATTTCTTGGGCATGCATGCACACAGCGTGAGTTTAAACCACCAGGTCCAGGACTCAAACCAGGGTCGACTACGTGGGAGTCCAGAGACATAGCAATTATGCTAACTGCTGGTCCTAACGGGGGCAGTCTTTAAGCAATTGAGTGACTTCCATTCCTCATCCACAGACCTTGCACTGTACCTGCATCCACAGGTGGCATTGTATTTGTGGTCGCAGCAAGAGAATAAACAGTTGCCACCTTACGGTTTCTTCAGTTCTGAGACTCCCTCTTTGATTTTTTTTTTTTTTTTTTTTTGCCAAAACCAAACTGAGTATGTACTTGCTGGAGAAAGAAAGAGGGAAAGTGAGAAATCACCCCTCAAGGGGGATGGCCATACTGCAGTCCCTTCTTCCTTCTCTTCCCAAGATTTTGGGCATGCATGCACATGCACCTGGTGTGATGTTCAAGTTGCTAGGTCCAGGACTCAAACTGTGGTTGATCATGTGGGATTCCAGGGCCTGAACCAACATGCTACTGCTAGCCCCAATGCCCTCTTTGATTTCTAATTATTTTTTAGAAATAATTATTATTATTTTAAATTTGTTATAGGGCATGTGTGCTCAGCAGAGACAGAGAGAGAAAGTGAGAAAGCAAGCTGCCAGGTCTGGGGCTTGAACCACAGTCAGTCATGTGGGAGTCGAGCACATTAACTACGCCACCTGCTGGCCCCTGATTTCCAACTCTAAACACTAATGGAACTCATTGGGGATCCGGGTCAGTGGTCAAAGACCATTCATCTCTGCTGTCATCACACACCTCAACACTAAGTGGTCACTCGGCAGACATGGATGGAGTCCTCTGCTGCCCACCAGAGTTCAATCCTATACTTGGCCAGACAGCCCACGGGACCCTGTCTCTCCCTCTTTTTTTCCTTTTTTTTGCTTAAATTATTATTACTACCCCGTCTCTTCTTTAAAAGGGAATTATGGGGGCCAGCAGGAGGCATGGTGGTTGGATGCACTGGACTCCCACATAGCTGACCATAGTTCAAGTCCTGGACCTGATGACTTGCTTTCTCACCTTCCCTTTATCTCTCTCTCTCTGGTCAAATTAAAATAATAATAATGATGATGAATAAAATGAAATAATTCTTTAAAAATAAAAAGGGTGTGTGTGTGAAGCCAGCTGGTGGCATGGTTAAGTGCGGCTGGATCCCACATGGCTAACTGTGCAGTTTGAGTTCCAGACCCAATGGCTTAAAAAATACCCCCAGGGCACATGTGTGCCCAAAATCCTCAAAGGAAGAGGAGAGAGAAAAGAAGGAATTGTGGGAGCCGGCAGGTGACACAGTGACTTAGGGCACTGGACTTCCACAAGGCCAACTGGTTCGAGTCCTGGACCTGGTGGCTTACTTTTCTCTCTCTCTGGTCAAATTAAAATAAGTTAAATAAAATAATTGCTTAAAAAAAAAAAAAAAAGGAATTGTGGTGTGGCCATCTCCCCCAGAAGGTGCTGTCTCTCGTCTCTCTGTGGTGAGTGCACATGTCCTCTGACAAATTTTTAAAAGTGGGGGGAGGTCTGTGACCTTGTTGGTCCCACATTATGTTCCAGATTGGGCAAGTGGTTCTGCAGTCCTGAAGTACAGCTTGGTGGCAAACAGGGCCACAAAGTGGGGCTGGCTGACACACTTGCAGGGACGCAGGTAGTGAGGGGACAGGGAGCCCGGAAAGATTCAGACGGCTGTTACACAGATGCTTATTTTACTTCATTTAGTCTGTTTTCTACTACACTCCATTCTCTTTAAAAATAATTCTCTGGACCAGCTCTATGGCCTGGTGGTTAAGAAAGCCAGATCCCGTGGTTGACTACACAGACACAGTGGCTTGAGAAACATGCTAGGTGCATATGTGTGTGCATGCCCAAAAGCCCGGGAAGAGAGCGAGATGGAGGAGGGATTGCAGCATGACCATTCCCCACACGAAGTGCTTTCTCCTCGCTCTCCCCCTGCTCCTTTCTGGTGAGCACACATGCCCTTAGCCAAAAGGGGGGGGTGGGGAGGCATTTTCATCTTATCTGTTCTTCCTCGTGGTTGTGATGGGAGAGGGGCCTGCCTACAGAGGCCGACCACATCCTTCCCAGAAGTTCATTTCTGCTTTTTACCACTTCTATTGGAAACATGATCTTACTTGATTCATAATATTTTAATTTAATCACACTCCAATATGACTTCCTCTTGTTGAAATGAGTTACAGGGTTATCTTTTTTGAAATAAATGTCAACTATTTCCTGAATTTTTTTTTTTTCCTTAGAGAAACTTTTGCTATGGGGCACATGTGCTCACTGGAGAGACAGAAACTGAGAAATAACCCCCACCAAGGGGGATGGCCACGCCACAACCCCTCCTCCTTCATTCTCCTCTTGGGATCTTGGGCACGCACGCACATGTGCCCGGCCCGAGTTTGAAGCTACTGGGTCCGGGACTCAAACTATGATCGACTACGTGGGAATGAAGTAACCATTGTGCCACCTGCTGGTTCCTCCTGAACTTTCTTGAGGGATAACCATTTTTCAAGGTTCTCACTGCTTTGCTGTTTTGTATTATATGTTTTTCTGCTTTTGTTTTTCAGCTTGTTACACTTCCTTACCTTTTTGATCATTGCTGTTATTGCTGGCAATTTTTCAGATGACTTTACAGATCTCAGTGGGTTTAGGGGAAGAAGTGAGGGTTCCCTAATCTGCTATCTCGTTGCTCAGAGGAACTTGGTACAAAGCATTTTCTTCTTTAGCCACATCATTTCCCCTCACTTTCACTGACTCTCTTCTAGTCTCTTCCTGAGTTTTATGTGACTGTTATGTGAGGGGACTTCAAAAAATCCATGGAAAATTAGAATTAAAATACACGTCTATTTTTTCTGAGAGGTTTTTGTTATAGGGCGCGTGTGCTCGCTGGAGACACACAGTGAGAGACAGAGACAGAGTGAGAAATCACCCCCCAGAGGGGATGGCCACATTGCAATCCCTTCTCCTCCATTTTCCTCTCGGGATCTTGGACACGCACACACACGTGCCCAGCATGAGTTTAAGCCACCAAGTGCGGGACTGGAACCGCGGTCGACTACATGGCAGTTCAAGCGACATAGCCATTTCACCAACTTCTGGTCCCTCAGCATGAGTTTTAAGCTGCCGGGTCTGGGACTCAAACCACAGTCGACTACATGGGAGTCTAGCAATGTAATGTAACCATTACATCACCTGCTGGTCCCACCAATAACTTTCAAAGCTCTGTCAGCCTTTACCTCCATCTGGGCTTCCAGAGTTATTCACTCACATATCTCCACAGGCACCCTAAATGTATGGTCTCTAAACTCACCATCCATCCTCTCTGCCACTCTGCCCCTCCTCCTGTGAGCCTAGTTCAGAGAAGGACACCACCATCCGGCCAATGCCTATATAGCGCTATTTCACACCCACCTCTGGTCTCGCATCCACCCGCTTCCAAGTGATGTCAGCTCTGCCCTCCTCTTGCCCCATGGCCACCGCACAGCCCTACATGCCTTCTAAGACCTGCCCTCTGGAGGAGCGCACATGCCAAAAGCACTCAGTGGGCACACGTGGTTTTATTATTTCTGCCTGAAAGGAGGCCATGGTGGAGCGGGGATGCAGAGCATCCAGGATGGTGACGAGCTGTCCAACGGTGTGAACTGGAGCTGCAGAGCAGGTGCGCTTTGGCTTGCAGAGGTTGCCAGTTTGAGAAGGGGGTCCTGGCCTCACCGATGCCGCTTCCGGATGCTCTGCAGCTCCTGGTGGATGGTGCTGAAGCTGGGCCGCTGCACAGGCTCATAGGCCCAGCACTGCTCCATGAGCCTGAACACGGCATCAGGACACAGCTCTGGGCAGGGCAGGCGGCCCCCTGTGAGGACGGGCAGGGCATGTCGGGCATGAGCAGGGAGTCTGAGTGTCTGCTGTGGCCCCAGGGGCATACTGTGAGCAACAGGAGCAATTTATGATGCGCTGCTTCCAGGAAGCCACTCTTCTTTACCAAAGACCCCAAGGACAGACACCGGGGTTCTAATCCTGATCCTACCATGTGTCTGTCGAGTATCCTCTGAAAATCCCAGTTTTTCCATTTATAAAAGGGGTGTATTAATCCCCACCTTACATGTCAGGAAGAGTAAATGAAGCAGCACAGAACAAGTGCCCAGTCAGTAGCAACAGGGTTATTTGTTCTTTTTTCTTTTTTCAATTTTGCTAGAAGGCACATGTACTCACCAGAGAGGGAGGGAAAGACAGAGGAAGAGGGAAAGTGAGAAAGCACTCCCCTTGGGAGATGGTCGCAGTGCAATCCCTTCACCTCCATTTTTTCCTCCTCTTGGGATTTTGGGCAAGCAGGCACATGAAACCAGCATGCCTTGTAAACTGCCAGGTCTGGGACTTGAACCATGCAGTTGGCTATGTGGGATCCAGATACCTTATCCACCAGGCCATGGGCTGGCCCGTTATTCCTCTTCTACCCAGTGGGAAGGCTGGGGGGTTAACAGAGGAGGAAGAGTTCACTGGAGCCCTGGGAAGAGGGCTGGTCCCAAGGGTCGTCTTACCATTTTCCACGAACTCCCGAGTCTGCTGATTGCTGAGGTTGGGGTAGGGAGAGGCCCCCAGGCTGAAGGTCTCCCAGAGCAAGATGCCAAAGCTCCACACGTCGCTCTCAGAGGAGTAGCGGCCTGCAGAGGTGGTGTGGCAGCATGAGCGGACTGTCCCTGTGCTCCCGTGGGGCCAGCCCCAGTCACCCAGATAAACAAGAAGCAGGTACCGTAGTTAAGCGCCTCGGGTGCAGTCCACTTCACAGGGACTTGTCGGAGGCCCCCTGAGGCTGCATAGATCCCATCGGCTTCCTCCCGGGACATCCCGAAATCGCTGATCTTCAGGACGTTCTTCTCTGTCACCAGGCAGTTCCGAGCAGCCAGGTCCCTGGGTGAAGCAGGGCAGGGGCTCATCTGGCCAATGTCGCCAGCCCAGCCTGGGTCAAGCATTCCAGGCAAAGCCATGGGCAAAACCGCAGGGGCGCCGATGATGGGGGCCTGGAGGTGGCGGCTCCTCCTGACTGGCCTGGGGACGGTGCAGGCAGGGCCGTCTGCTCACCGGTGGATGCAGCACTTGCTCTCCAGGTGGTCCATGCCAGCCGCTGCATCCCCCACCATCTGCAGCAGTCACCCGCAGGCGGGCTCCCTCCGTCCGAAGGAAGGTCAGGAAGTCGCCCCCTGTCCAGTGGAGGGCCTGGCTGAGCCTTCTGGCTGGGCTGAGCTCCCCATCCCTAGAGGTCAACCCCTCTGCTTACCCTGCACGAGCTCCATGACGATGTAGATGGGCTGTTTCTGGGTGCAGACGCCAATGAGACGCACGATGTTGGGGTGGCTGTACTGCTTCAGGATTCTGGAGGGGCTGCTGCTTAGGTGACGAGTGGCCCGGGCCTGCCTCCCGCCTCCCTTCAGGGCACCCAGGGAGGATGGGAGAAAGGGCACCGAGAGAAGAGCTTGATCTCTGAGACGGGATGTGTGACCTTGGCCAGGGCCCTAGCAGCCTCTACTCCTCGGCATTATGGGGGAGGGCGCCACCTGCAGAGGTGGGGGGCCTCGAGGATTAACCGCCACCACAGCTCACACCGGGCCTCGGTCAGGGAACCTGCGTCTGTGGAACCTATCGTGATGGTTATTCATGGCGCACCTTGCTTCCTGCAGGAACTTGGCCTTGAGGTCAGGGGGCAGCGTCTCTCGACAAGACTTCACAGCCACCAAGGTGTTGTCGGCCTTCAGACGTCCGCTGAACACTTCTCCGAAATTCCCCTGAAATGGAGGTGGCTCCTGCCAAAGCCTTCCCTGGGGTGCTGTCCTCTTGTAGCCTGTCTCGGCCCCTTGCTCTCCTCAGCCCTGGAGCTCAGCTGGGCTCACCCTGGCTCTCTAGGAGTTTGCTACCTTGTCGGGGCAAGAGTGCCCATGGGGTGGGCGGGCCACCCCTTCATGAGAGAAGCCATGCTCACTGAAAGATGATGGGAAATCCAAAGACCACCTTCCCTTGGGTTTGGAAAGCAGTCCGATTTTCAGGGAAGTGATTTCTCTAAGCAGGTATTTTGCAGCTTAAGTCAACAGGACATGCGTCTCCCTGTGCACACACAAATCCCCAAGGGCGCAGGGCCTGGGCTAGCGTGCTGGCAGCAGAGCCCTCTCCTGGGAGTTTTGGGGCAGGTACTCCCTGTTTCCTGGCAGTGACTGAGCAGGGAGTCAGACTGAGGCCGGAGGCCCAACAGATCTCTGGGGTGGGGCCTCAGAGGGCTGTGGGCTGGAAGGCTGCAGCCAGGAGGTGCACTCACCCGCCCAATCTGCTCGCCCAGCACCAGGTCCTCATGGTTTAGTGCCCACTTGTCCTGAGGAAGAGGAGGAGTTGGGGGGTTCGAAGTCAGTGAAGAGAAGGGGGGCGGGGCCATGCAAAAGCCTGAACAGCTCTCCCACTGGAGCTATGTCTTTCATTTATTGGAGCCTCAGTGTGTTGGTCTATCAAACAGGCTACGGGTGACCTCGGGGACTCCCTGAGCGAGCACCACCCTGGTGTGCAGGCCATAGAATAAGAATGGCTTTGACATTCCAGAACCCTGTGGAGTGAGGGGCATCGTGGCCTTGTATGTAGATCAGGACCGGAATACCTTCCTGTGGGTCCTGGGCAAGCCTGCCCCACACTCGCCAGACCACAGGAGCATGCCTAGGCTGGGTCTGGCTCACCTTGTGCACAGCTCTGCGCAGGACGACACCGCTCTGCTTGGTGAGGGGCTGCTGGGAGCACAGCAGGTGGTCGATGAGCAAGGGGATGCTGGGAAAGCCGTCCCCTTCCAGTCGGTACAGGTTCTACAGGGCAGGGAGACCTGGGGTCAACAGACTCCACAGCTGAGGACCAGAGCCCAGGGGAAAGGGGAAGAAGAGCTGCAGGACAGAGGCAGGGAGGCCTCAGGATGGTGCCCTCTGCTTGTGCACCACGACTCAGCTGTCCCCAGCCTTAGGGAAGGACATGTGTTTCAGAGCCCCTTCTTGCAAGGACTCGGTGGTCTCGTGGCCCCTTCCAGCTCCGCTAGGGCCCATCCTCTTGGGGAGGGAAGAGAGGGGTTCACTCACGTCGGAAGACTGGATGATGAAGTGCCGGGGCAGGCCCTCCCACAGCACCGACAGCACGTACTCCTGCTTGCCCTGGCTCTCCCGCACCAGGAAGTCCCCGGTGTGCGTCAGCAGCTCAGCCACTTCCACCCGTGGGATGGCCCCATGGTACCACAGCTGCTCGTGCAGGGGCTTCTGCACTTCGGGAACGAGCTGTAGCGGTGGGGGCAGCTGTGCAGGGGCAGAGCAGAGCAAGGAGGGTCATTTGGCTAGCTTGTGGGGGAAGGCCACGGACCGGCCAGTGACACGTCTCCAGGTCCCAGGGGCAGGTGGAGGACTGGCCTGGACATGCTCTAGACAGAGCTGGGATTAGAAACCCAGGCCCCTGATCCCAAACTCAGCTGGTGCCTTCCTCCAGCTGGTGGCGGGGAAAGGTAGGTTCCCCGCCACCCCCACAGCAGGGAGAGCCACGGGGTGACTGCAGGTCACTACAGCACACGGGCAGGAGGAAGAAGGGGGTCCATCTGCAGCATGGTACCCAGAAAAGAGGGAGCTCCGATAAAAGCAGGGTGGGTAGAGCCTCCCTTCCAGCAGCCCCAGTGACCAAACCTCAACACTGTGGTGAGAGGGTCAGCCGGGGGCATCTTGGAGACCCCCCCAGCAGAGGCAGGGACCCAGGTGGGGTGCCACTCACCGAGAATTTGGGGCGGAAGATTCCCGAGATGTGGCTCTTGAGGAGTTCCAGTGTGGGCGTCCTTCCCCCCTCTCGCTCGGGCTCCTGAGGCCAGGGACAGACGTCAGCGGGTGGCCAGGCTTGGGGAGGGGGAGGGCAAAAATGAGGAGCGCGGCCCCAGGCGAGCACGCTGGCAGGCGACAGCGGCGGGTGGGACAGCTCACCGAGGACGATGTGGAGTGGCGGTCATCCTGCAGCAGCAGCAGGGGTGGGGGCTCGCCAGGGCCCAGCTGCTCCAGCTTGGCCTGCAGCAGCTCTTGCTGGGCCTGCAGCTTGGCCTGGCTGCACAGTGCCACCTGCCGCCCCTGCAGCGCCTCCTGCAGCACCTGCCTCTTGCTGAGCAACTGCACCCTGCAGGCAGGGGTGGGGGTGGGGAGAGTGTGTGAGAGGGCTCATCTGCAGCTCCAGCCAGCACAGGGTGGGCAGGGGGAGGGTGAGCTGCGGGAGGGAGGGCGGACCAGAGGTCATTGCACTTCGAGCCCATTCACCTCCCACGAGGGTGGATGCTCTGTTCCTCATTCTGGAGCTCACGCTGCAGCTGGGTAACCACCTCCTGCCGCCTGAGCACCGTCTCGGTGGCCACAGCCAGTTCATCTGTCACTGAGGTCAGCCTACACCCAAGAGCAGGGCAGTGTTAGAACCATGTCCGCAGATGTATCCATGCAGGGTCAAGCAGGTGTGGCAGCCTGACCCTGGCTCTGCATGGACAGGGTCCACTCCCCAGCCCTGCCCACAGAAACCCCAGTGGTCTGCTGGGACCAGATACAAGCCACCACACACGTGTGCTGTACACTCTCCACGGTCAGCTCGTTCAGCTGCAACTCTCCAGGCTCCAGCGGTTCACCCTCCTCAAGCAGGGACTCATCGAAGGTGACGCACGGGGGGACGTCCGGTGTGGAGCTGTGGGGGGACAGTGTGCCATCAGTAAACAGGCCAGCAGCCCTGGTGCCCAGCAGGGGCAGGGATGTGCTTACCCGTACTGTCGCAGGAAGCCTTGGTACTCAGTCTCAGGCTGGATGCGGGCAGCAGCTGCAGCCATCTCCTGGTGGATGGCTACCACCTCGTCCTGCACCAGACTGCTGATCTCCAGGTATTCTTGCAGAATCTCCTTCCTGCCCACCAAGACGGGACTCCGGTCAGAGCGGTCTCAGGCTGGGCTAGGCAGGGTAGCTCAAGACTGGGCTAGGAGTCAGGGCTGGAGTTGGCCCCCCAGCCTGCCCTCCTGTGCAGGTCAGGTAACTGCAAGCAAATTATTCGACCTCTCTTCTATTCCCGGATCTGTATAATGAGGATGCTGGAATTGTACTAAGAATCCTCTGAGAACCCACACGCAGTGTGTCTGGATTACGGAAAGTACTTGTAAGTGGGAGCCACAATCGTCCCTGCCCTGGCCAGTCAGCCTAAGAACTGGGGAGCCGGGCTCCTGACATATATAAGCCACCGAAGTGCTGCTGATTCCCGAGTCTAGATCTCCCAGTCCTGGTCCCCTCCTTAGCTGCAGTCACATCTATTCATCCACCTACAGAAATGTCCCACTACACATCTCTCACACACCGTCACTCTACCAGTTCAAAAACGAACTCCTACTCTCATCTCGGAAACCTCTTCCTCCCTAGCCTTCTCTGTATAAAGTAACGGCAATTCCATCTTCTCCATGCTCAGAGTCCTTTAACCCTCTATCTCCCAGTCCACTTCCAATCCAATCCCGCTGGCTCTACCTTCCAAATATACCCAGAACCTGACCACGCCTCACCTCTGCTGCTACCACCCTAGTCCAGGTGCCCGGGATCTCTGGTCCGGATTACAGCAAGGGCCTGTTATCTGGTCTCTGTCCTTGCCCTTGAAGCCTGTTCTTAGCATGGTAGCCTTATGAGAACAGGTCTGATTCCGTGACTTCTCATTCACCGAGAGCCAAAATGTGCACAATGGCCTGTCAGACCCTCGAGGCTCAGAACCCCGACCCTGACTCCTCCAGCCTTGTCTCTGACTCTCTCCCTTCCTGGCTCTGCAGGAACTCCACAGCTTCTTGCTGTCCCCCAATCCTTTCCCTGTGCACTGGCTGTCCCTCTTTCTGGAATGATCTTTCTCTTACCCCATGGCTCACTCTCATACCACTCTCAGGGCTCTCTTTTTAATGCCAGAGAACATGCATGCTCATCAGAGAGAGAGAAAGAGACAGGAAGAAAGGGAGAAAGCACCCCTCCCACAGGGTGTAGTCAGGCTACATTCCCTTCTCCTCCATTTCTCCATCCTGTCAGGATCTGGGACACACACACCAACTTGTGTTTTTCAAGACCCCAGGGCTAGGATTTGAACTGAGATTGACCATGTGAGATCCAGCTTTCAACCTCCAGCCCACAGGGGAGGGGTTGCCCTCTCAGGTCTCTCTTGGAAGGTCACTTCTCAGAGGCTTCCCCAGACTTCCTCCCTGCCCCAAGGCCCTCCCAACCCCCCTTCTCTTGCCTTCCTTTCCTCCAGAGCACTTATTGCTTGTAATCGGCTTTATTTACTTTCTGACCTCTCTCTACTAGCGAAAAAGATCCCTGGGGACAGAGGTTTTTGTCTACACTGTTCTCCGCTGCAGCCCAGAGCCTAGGATAGTGTAATAAAACCCTGGGGTGAGGGCCCTGGAATCCTGAAATCTGGGTGTAAGTAGGTCGATTCCAGGGGCCAGTCAGGTCCCATTCTCACGAGCTTACGCAGCTGGCACTTTTACCAAACTCGATTTTTCTTTTCTTTTTAATAACTTGCATTAGAGTGTGCATGCTCACCAGACAGAGCTAGAGAAAAAGGGGTAGAGTGAGAAATCATCCCCCCTGGGAGATGGTCACACCACAATCCCTTCTCCTCCATGTCTTCTTTTGTGATTTTGGCCTCACACGCACCTGCACCAGGCGAGTTTTTCAAGCTGCCAGGTCTGAGACACAAACCATGCGGTTGGCCATGTGGGATCTAGCCACAAACTGGGTAGCCCTATAGGACTGAATTCTTTGGAGGCCTGGTGGCAGGGCTGGGGCTGTTACAGGACAGGGGAGGGCTGCAGGCTCACAGGATGCGTGCCATCTCCTCGTGCAGGTCCTGCAGTGACTGCAGCAGGCTGGGGAGCATCAGCTGGTGGTGGTGCTGGTGGTGCAGCTGCGCGGCCCGCACGCCCAGCACATAACGGTTGTGGTGGGCAAAGAGCTTCCACAGGCTGCGCACGTACTTGTCCTTGGCCTTGTCACGGTCCTTGTCTGCCAGGTGGGAGCAGGGGAGGGGTAGAGGTGACAGTGGAGGGCTGGGCAGTCCCTGCTCCCAGGACACTCATGGACAGGTCTGCACTGGCTTGGGATTCCCTCCCAGCCGGCAAGGGGAGTCACAAACCTTTGCTGGCCTCCTGGTACTTGCGCCTGGCCTGGGCGCTGTCCCGGGCCAGGGCTCGGTACTGGCTCTTCAGCTTCTCGATATCCTGGCTGTGGGTCTGGGGAGAGAGGAGAGGCCTGTGTGAGACAGCGGGTCCCCAAGCGTGGGAAGTCCTGCCCGAGGAGCAGTCCTGGAAAGGTCCCGCTGTCCAGGATCTAGGATCGTGCTCCAGGAATGGCCCGGAGGCTTCTGAAGAAGCTGGCTGCAGAGGCTAGGGTCAGAGGAGCCGAGTTCAGGGCAGGTCCCTGGGGAAAGCAGGGAGGTAGGCTGGGCAGGCTACAAAGGTCCTACCCTGGTGGGAGAGAGGGCCAGCTTCAGGTCTGTGTTATCTGTGCAGCCACAAGAGTTCCACATGTGGAAGGGCCCTGTGCCTGGCTCTTAACTGAAGTTCTTCATAGTTTCAAAAGGGGCCCCACATTTTCATTTTGCACTGGGTCCTACAAATTATGTTCCGGGCAGCAGAAAACATTAGACATCAGTCCAGAATCAGAGTTCTCATCCCACATCTTCTGTTTATATGCTTGGATGCCTCAGGCAGGCTCCACCGCTTTCATCTCAACCTCAGTTTCCCCATCTGTAACTGAGCAAAATGCCTAGACTAGACTGGTCTTGTTCTTAAAAGGCCAGGCTAGTATTTTAGGTCTGTAGGCCTACAGGGTCTCTGTTGCAATTACTCAACTCTGCCATTGTGGCTCTAAATGGCAGCCATGGTTGTGTTCTAGTAAGCTTTTAAAAGTGAGCAGACCTTTGAGTTAGATCTTCAGGAGAGAGGCATGGGGCCAGGTTGGCCACCAGGGGCCGCTGTGGGTCCACGGCAAGGGTCGGCTAGCCGCTGGTGGAAGGGGTGTGGTACAGAGAGGCTGACCAACGCTGCCTTACGGGCGAACGGCCACCCCAGCCCCTGAACTTTACACGGTGGGATTCTAACTTAGGCAGGCCACCATCACAGCTCCAATCCTTGACTGGCAGGGGGCCACACTGCTGCCTTGTCTCTGGTGCTCTGGGAAGAGCTTACCTTGGTCAAACAGACTGGCCCTCACTCCTGAGAATCTCATTGATTCTCAGGCCCCAGAGGCTGGCAGGGCGCTGTAGGAGGCAGAGCACAGCGCCTCAGCTGCTCCTGGGCAGTGGCCAACTCACTCATCCTTGCCTCCTGACACTTTGCCCAGGCACAGACAACACATGGGCAGGGGCTCCATGACCCAAGCAGGAGGGAGGGAGGCAGGGAGGAAGCTGCGGTAGAGGCCAGGCAGCGGTTAGGGACTTCCACTTCCCCCAGTGAATCCAGAGACTGTTGTGTAAAGCCAACCCTTCAGGGCACAACATTGAAACAGACAAGACCAAAGGCCCGGCGCTGCCCACCCACCTTGGTGAGCTCCTGCTGCAGCTGCTGCCACTGTTCGCTGTAGCTCTTGCGCAGTTGCTGCCGTTCGCGGATGAGCAGGCTCAGCTTGCTCAGGGGCCCCGAGTTCAGGTCCTCCGCATGCTGTCGCAGCAGCCGGCTTAGGCCCTCCGTCTGGCTGGTGATCTCTGCCCAGGACTGCAGCAGGGGGATGGGCAGGCAGAGAGTAGTGGACGGTGGCTCCCAAACTGGGCCTGCCAGGCTCTGGGAGAGGAACAGGTAGGCAGCACCCCCTCACCCCCAAGACCCACCTGGCTGATGGGGCTGTCGGGGTTGCCCCGGCACTGCCCTGCACTGTCTTGCAGGGACATGTGGTGAAGGAGACCTGCATATTCCCGGTCACTCTTGACCCGCTGGGCCATCCACTTCCTCATGCCTTCTAGGAGGCGAAGTTCCGCCTCCTGCATCTGCTGCACTGCCCCGTGGCCCTGGGGGCTGCACAGCTCCGATGAGAAGCCCATAGTGCCTGATGTTCTGCAGACAGAGAAGAGGCTAAGACCCGGGGCCAGGCAGCACCTGAAACGGAGGTGCAGACTGACAGGAGAGTGGTTCTGCCCTGGTAAAATGCAGCCTAGGAACACAGGGCAGCCTGGAGCCTGGAACTGGCCTTCACCGCTTTCAGAACCCTTGTGCCAGGGGGTCGCCTTCCCTTTCCTGGAACAACACCTAGCGCAAAGCCTGCTTCCGGACTCTCCACCCAATACCCGATGTTACAACAGGGCGCCCACATTGGTCCCCAACAGGGCGAAGCTGCCCGGACTTAGCTCCAGGGCCGCTGCCTAGTCCTGCCGCTGTGGCCGTCCCACCCTTCCGTGGCCCTTACCCCACCCGGTCAGATCTCAGGCTCTCGAGCGTCTGTCGGTCCCGGCCTGCGCCCGCGCGCCCGCGCCCCACGCCCACTGCCTCTTGGGTCGAGAAGCTGTTACCCATTGGTCCCCAACAGGGCGAAGCTGCCCGGACTTAGCTCCAGGGCCGCTGCCTAGTCCTGCCGCTGTGGCCGTCCCACCCTTCCGTGGCCCTTACCCCACCCGGTCAGATCTCAGGCTCTCGAGCGTCTGTCGGTCCCGGCCTGCGCCCGCGCGCCCGCGCCCCACGCCCACTGCCTCTTGGGTCGAGAAGCTGTTACCCGTGCAGGCAGCTGCTCCTGGGGCGAACCGACCCGGCCCCCGCCCCCCCCCCCGGCCAGTTCCTGATTCCGCGCTTCCTCCTCCGGTGGTTTCAGTTGGCCAGACCCGGGGCGGGCCAGAGGAGGGAGCGGCCGGCCCCCCCCAAGCCTGCCGGCCCCCCTCCGGCGCTGGGCCGCAGCCTGGGCGGCTGAGCGGCCACGGAAACGGAAGGGAGGAGGGGGCCAGGAAAGAATGGCCGTGCAGAGGGCCTGCCCCGGCACTCCTCTGGGCCGCAGCACCCTGGGACTTTGGGAAGGAGCCCGTGGGGGAAGGCGGGGGAGACCCTGGCAGGTGGGCCCCCCCCAAGCCTGCCGGCCCCCCTCCGGCGCTGGGCCGCAGCCTGGGCGGCTGAGCGGCCACGGAAACGGAAGGGAGGAGGGGGCCAGGAAAGAATGGCCGTGCAGAGGGCCTGCCCCGGCACTCCTCTGGGCCGCAGCACCCTGGGACTTTGGGAAGGAGCCCGTGGGGGAAGGCGGGGGAGACCCTGGCAGGTGTTAGGCCGGGAAACCTGGGGTATCCAGGGGCTGGAGTCAAGCCTAGCTCCCAGCCAGGGACAAGAGGAAGGGGGACGCCTAGGCCAGGCCGTCCCCACCCCATCAGATTCCCTAAGGAGCGCTCAGGCGCCAGCATCATTTGAATAAAATCGCCAAGAACAGTAAATAACGCAAGCAAAGGCCCGTTTCTCAGGCACCAGTCTTGACACCACAGTCCCAGAGCCCTACCCCAGAAAGGAACTTAATGTCCCAAGGGCAATCTGGGGCTGGGGCTGTGGGCCAGTGGAGAGGGAGTTTCCCTGGTAGGACTCAGGCTCTCCTCTGCGAAAATCATCTTGGTCCCACCAGGCCCAGTCAGCCTCAGCCCTAAGTTGGTGGCCAGGACACTTGAGCCCAGGAAGACACTGAATAATGCAACTAGGCCCAACGACTTTCCACTCTGCAGGACACCAGGACTGAGGCCCAGGGGGTAACTTGACACCACCACCCCCAGCTTGCTCCCCACTGTTGGCTCCTACTGGGACCAGTGCATCTGCTCCCTGCAGGGGTCCCTGGAGCTCTTGGAGAAGACTCTGGCTTCTGACATAGGCCACCAGGCAGGCAGGACACCAGTCCCTGCAATCCCAGGCCTTCTCCCCAGGAGGTTTGACGTGGTTCCTGGTCCTGGGAAGAGCAATACCACCACACTGGAGACCCGGCCTGGTTTGCATAGTCTGCACGTTTAATCACTTTAAAACCTCTAACATTATCTCGTGTCCATTAAATAGAACCAACAATGCTGGGCCTGTTTAAATTACAAGAAAAAAAAATCACTGTGCACCAACCCAGTATCTTACAAAACCAGCCGGGCTGGCCACGATGGGGCGGGTGGAGACAAGGGGGCACCCCTGGGCAGGTGACTAGGTACCAGGAAGGGTTAGGAGAAAGAAAAGGGGGCTCCCAAATGGGAGGGGACTGATTGTCCTAACGGGAGGGGTGCAAAAGGCACGTCGGAAGAGGGGGTTGGGGGCATGACAGGTCAGTGCTTTCTCCACCAGGGCACAGTGTTACAGGGGGCTCAGTGCCACCTCCCACCTACCCCCGGCACTTGGAAAGCCAGTGACCCACAAGCCCTTGGCACGATGAGTCCCGTTTGAAACACGGATGTAGCCTGCTCCTCGCACTGTGACCCCCTTTCCTTGAGCCCACCTGGCTGGCCTGCCTCTTCAGGACTGGGGGGCTCAACGGTTTGCTCCTTGCGCCTCAGCAATCTGCTGCAGCCCCTACAACTCAGGGCCATGGCAGCCAGGGGAAGGGCGGGGTGGACGGTGGGTATGAGAAGGCGGGTGGTCCAGCTGCTACCCCCGTTAAAAAATACAAAAAAAAAAAAAAATCAGCATCTAAAGTGAAATAATCACAAAGTGAAAATATATCCTCAAACAGCCCCTGAGATCCCCACAGGGGAAAGCAGCATTGGGTGAGAGGCGGGAGAGGCCGGCAGGGCCCCCGCGCCTCACCACCACCCCGCCACGGGATC